GAAGATGTTTCTGTCAACATTTTCTTATGTGTGTGTGTGTGTGTGTGTGTGTGTGTGTGTGTGTGTGTGTGTGTGTGTGTGTGTGTGTGTGTTACCTGGTCGTACTCCAGCGCTCCGGGGTAGAGGGGCCAGCCCAGAAACAGCTCGGCTATCACACAGCCAAGTGACCACATGTCAATGGCCTCGCAAAATGGCAGGCCCAAAATAATCTCCGGGGCCCTGCAGAGAAAAAAAAGAGTCAAGCAGAAAACCACTCATTATCACAGCAGAGGACAACAAGCCTTCAAATTCTGTGGCTGGAAACGCTTTAAGAGTTTGGACCTAATTTTAAGAACGCCTTATTTAAAAATACCATTTTTTTATTGTATTAGAAAATACCTGGTGTTTGACTGAGGTAGATGAAAAGACAAAATTAATCAGCAGGTTTTGAGAAAACTAAGTTCACCTTTACTGAGTGGTGATTAAATGATACACAGTAGGTTGTAGCTTCTCTATAAAAGCAAACATGGAGCATACATGTGCTTTTTTTTTAACTTCAAAATAAGCTAGTTTTTGAAAATACTATAAAAAAATAGAAAGCATCCTACTTGATTATTCTTGAACTTTACCAACGACACAGACAGGTCCAACAGTTTGAATCATTTTAAAGTAGACATCCTGCTTTTAAATCCTTCCTTTTCACATTTAAGTTAGTGCTGGGAGGTATACTGTTTTGTACCAAAAATCGTGATATGAATTTTCTGAATACCGGACATACCGGTTTAAATAGTCTGAACACGTTTGGAACGTTTGTCGTGGCCACCAGTGAACTGTTTCCCGGGGAACACTTTTCCTCGCAGCACCGCTATGTGCGTTAGCATGCTAATGTTATTGTTGGAGTAACTGGCAGCAAGTGGTGCTTCTGCTACTTTTACTGACTTATGTTAAAAAAAACCATATCCCGTTTTCACCGTCGCTGAATGTAGAAAACTCTTCAGTGACGTGCACGGTTAGATTTAATGCACAACGTTATAATGGAGACGTTAATGCGTGGAGACTTTAACGTGCTTCTATTGTGAAAAGCCCGGGGGAAGTAGTTTTGTAGTCGAGCTGAGCTGACTGGTGTGCAAGGTGAGTCATCCTTTTAAGTTTTATTAACACGTAACGATAGACCAGATAATGATCTTTTCTCAACTCTTCATGATTGGACCAAAATGCATGATTACTGTCTACAACCAGGCAAAGAAAAGACGTACAAGAGGAGGGAAACAGCGACAGACAGAGGTACAGTAAAAGAAAAAAGTCAATAAGCAAAGTTTGTACATTTTGTTATCAGCTGAGCTGTGAGAAAAAAATACTGTCAAATACCATGAAACCGGTGTAATTGTTAAAAATACCGTGATATAAAATTTGGGTCATACTGCCCAGCCCTAATTTAAATCCTTCAGTTGGGTCTTTATAAAGTGGAAGTACAAAGCTTTAGTCTAATTCCTTCTTATTCTAACTTTACTTTATTTAACAGCCTCGCTTTCACTACTTTCCTGCTGTGTCTCAAAGCAGCTGGTTTTGTTACTGTCCCTTTAAGATGCTTCAAGCCCCGCCCCCCTCCGGCTTCCAGATGGTCCACTACGGTTTGAGAGAGATGGGGTTACATTTTCTAGCTTGCAGAAATGTTTTATTTACAAATTAATTAAAAGATGTCAACAACAGAAGACTGGTCCATCCAGCCTTATAGAACCAGTTTGACCCAGAACCAGAGCAGAATTAAGATGAGGAAATTGTACTTGATATGTCCAAACTTTATTTGGTAATTCTGTTGCAGATCATTTGATGTAATAGTTCAGAAAAAGTAGAAAATAGAGAAAAAAGACTGAAAATTTTGATCCAAACAGAAAATAAAGACATCTTTGTGGCACCTGGAGAGACAAAATTCAACTTTTTTGCCTCTCAGAGACTTTAAGTCCACAACAAAATGTATTTAACAGCTAAAAAAGGCATATTTTGCAGATATGTCCCCTTTAAATCAAGTACATGCACACTCATTTTAAATTTTAAGCTTTGTGACTCAAACAGCACTAGTAATCTTGCAGGCACAGTGTGTAATGATATGTGAAACAATGGACTTTTGGACCTGGACACAGCAGCTGAGAAACACATCTACAAATAGCAACCACTGCTGTGACGGCCACGGAGGGAAAGGACTGTTGCTGAGCGCCAACTAGACACGAGATCATAATGAAACAGTATTACAGGCTGAAAAACGAGGCCATCAGTCATTGCATGTCAGAGTGTGTGTTTTTATTTGTGCGTGAGGCCTTACATGCAGGCTTTCTACCCTCCCTGACCTGAAGACAACTAAACTTTGTCATTTCCTTTTCCTGTTTTATAAAGGAACAAGCTCAGTTATGAAATGTCAAAAACAGCCGGGGGGGGGGGGGGGTTCGATTTAAATTCTGGGGAAATGGAAAATGGTTTTCTGTGAATATGGCCTTCGACCACAAAAAAGACGACGTTAAAATGTGACAAACCGGATTCAACACCCTGAGGTATTCACAGGAATTAAGATAACTGCAAATAAAGCTAAAGTCTGATTGGATGTTTCACAAAGTTAACCCATTACTCAGATAAGGACGAACTGTTTATCCCTCAAGAGTAGTTGAAATTTACTAACAAAAATGTCTTTATTATCCTGACTGGGAAAAAAAAGTACCATATTTATTCATGTATAATACGATCTCATGTATAATACGACCCCACCCCCCTTTTTTGAGCTTAAAAACCATAAAAAATTAATCCTCAAACTACCTCCAATTTCATATTATTCATTTTATTTTAACAACAAATGTACTAAAATCTATTTTGACAACAAATATGTTTCAGGTGTAGCATCATCATATGAATTCTGGCATTTTACACATAGTCCACCAGGAGGCGCCAACAAAAAAGTCAGAGACTTCACATGAGATTTGGACCATCTTCTGAGGGAAAAGCAGATTACTTCCTACTCGCGAGCGCCCCCTCTGGTGGGGAAACTTTTTCAGGGACACAAACTTTTTCAGAACACCGGTAGACGGCAGCCATTACAGACGAACATGTGTTTTGTTATTGTTCATGCAGCAGCCCGGTCACACGCTAATGTCATTAGTTCGCTATCATTACTGAGCTGCAGGACTACGTTCCCCCCTTTTTTTCACATCATGTCGCCTGCTTGGATCTGTTATCTCGCTCTGAAGCACAGAGGAGTGTCAGAGGTAAGCTTGTTTCAACTGCTTTTTACGACGTGGTCTCATTTCCGAACTCAGGCATTTTGCCAATATTTCAGTTAAAATACATAAGTAAAAATATTTATCCAAGTACTATTCTACCCCCGAATTTTATGGATGATTTTATGGATTAAATTTTACGTATTATACTTGAATAAATACGGCAAATCAAATTGAGTTAATAACCTATCTTAATCCTCTAGCAAAGATTTTATTGTTCCATACTTTCCTACAGCTGCTTAGGGAGGGGCGATATTGGCAAAATAATTACTCACAATTAATCGTGGTATTCAGCCGATAACCATTAATATCACGATTAATCCCCCGGAATCCCTGGACACCTGCACGTCGTAGTCGCATGACCAATTTAAATCACTATAGTGGGAAAGATTTGGTCTCCGTAAAAAATCTTCAAAATTCCAAATTGTGTCAAAAGTACAGACTTCAGGTTGTACATCAATTTTTCAATTGTGTTGATAGACCAAGTAAAACCGTGAATAAGTTACAGAACTTCTATAAAAAAAATGTTAGTCACATTTGAAGCAGAGAGGAGCATTGAGCGGACTGACCGGGGGAATCTCCAGTCAGTCTGCCCGGCGGCATTAATCGTATTAATCGTCAAGTACCAAAAGAAATAATCGATAAGTCGAAAGTTTTTCTGACAATTAATAGCATGATACAATTTTGCCCAACCCTTGTTCAGCATAAAACACAGACTGAAAGACAGCAACAACTTTGTTCTTCTTAAAGTAGTTAATTCTCAGACTGCATGTTTACTTGTGGTTCCTAGAGTATATCAAAGTAGAATGGGAAGCAGAGCTCATCTCTTGTTGACCCAACGTCCAGGTTCTGTCCATGAGGCTGACATTGTCCAGTTTTAAGATCAGGCTTAAGACTTTTTTTAAATAAATCCTATAGTTAAAGTTGGTTTGGGTTTCTTGACAGTTCTGCCGCTATAGGTTTAGACTGGTGGAGGACAAACTGCTGTTTTTACTCTCTCCATTTTCCATCCTACCATCACTCATGAACAAAAACACCCAGATACTTAAACTTCTCCACTTGTATTTATAACTATTTAAATCAAACTGTTTTTCTTCTTTTATCTTCCAATAGAACTACACCAGGATGATTTAGGTTTTTTTTTTTTTTTACTCATTTTCTTTCTTAACCCTCAGCCAGTTGAGGAAGATAAAAGTTTATCTGGTTCTGGTTAGTATTAATTTTTTTTCTTGTTGAAAATGTTTTTTTTTTCTGTCATCTCCACACTGATCAGGACGGGGGATTGCAGCAAAGTGACAATTCAAAATTCATGGGTTTCTTTAGATAAACTAGTTTTTACTAATTAGAATTTCATAATACAGCATGTAAACATACTACATAGTATTTGAACCTATCGACTTTTAGACTGAACTGAACTTTATTTTTGTGTACTTCCATGAGATTATGTCTACTGTGAATTTGCTTCATATAAAACAACAAACTCAAAATAAAAGTGTTAACTGGTATCATCTGACCCCTTAAACCACCAGCTTTTTCTGCAAACTGTATTAAATTTAGTAATGTCGTGCAGCGATGGTCTACGGCAAAAATACACCAACAACAACCAAATAATTCTGTTTTACAGGAAACTGTTTCAAAGGCGAGAGGGCTGTGCAAAAAATATACCTCAAGAGAAGTCTTTGTGTGGTATTTCTGTTTTACGCTCATATACTTATATGGCTGAAACCACAGTCACATAAACTAATGCAACAGCCCCAACGTTCCAGAGCGACAGACGGGCTAGCTTCCAGAACCAACTAGTCACTCTGCAGGGCTGCAACAAGAACAAACACGGCGCACAATACGGCAGCACACTCCTGCTGTGTGCAGCAGACAGACAGAAACAACCGGGATGTTAAACATGAGGGAGTTTAGTCCCGGACATGTGAGCCCCTGTTCTTTATCATCTGTAAGGAAACGCTGAGCCACGATTATCAC